AATGGTATCCCATTTGATGTTGGTTCTGTGATCTTTGATGTTGTTGTGGGCTTTGCAGAAATCTCTAAGCCTCATAAGTTGATGTTGTACCCATCTACCATATGTGCTATTCTCTTCGAGGATGGTGTGAAAATGGATCCTCGACTTGGTGATAATTATGCACCTGTTAACAAACCTCTTGCCCTTTCCGGTGTTAAGGTTGCCCCTCCTCATCCTTTTCTTGTTAAGGCCTCCGATGTACCTTCACAGCTTCGCGGCTTTTTAAATCAAAAATGGAAAGTTCTCGCGGGACTTGAAAAGAAATTGGCTGATCAGCGGAGGTACTACAAAGAGGTTCTGGGTGCCTTAAAGTGTCGTACCCCTTTGGCCTCTAAATTGAAAAAGGGGGAGAAAAAGAAGGATGTTGCTGCGGTTGCTGCAAAGAAGAAAGATCTTTCTAAGGGGGAGAAAAAAATAGTGGGTGCTGAAGGAAAGTAGATAAAGGTGGTGGATGCTGCTTCTACTCAAAAAGGGAACGAGAAGGTCATTGCTGCCAAGGGAAAGGGAAAGGAGAAGGTGGTGGAAGTAGATGAAGGTTCTGATGAAGAAGAGAAAGAAGAAGAAGTTGGGTCTGATGAGGAAGAGGAAGCAGGCTCAGAGGAAGAGACTGAGGATGGCACAGAAAAAGGTTCAAGGGAGGAATCTGAAGAGGAAGAGTCTGCTTAGCCATTCTTCAGCTGGATATCTATTAAAAACTTTGTTTTGTGTGCTTGTTTGAACTCCTTCCTTTATGTCTTATTATCTTGCGTTTGATGAACCTTTGTGGGATATTTTGTGAACTAATGTGTTGTTATTTAGGTACTTGAAGTTGTTCCTAAGAACAACACATGTGTGATATTAGTATTCTTTGGAAGTTGTGTATTCTGCAGCATCTGTATTTGTTTCGTCTTTGTAGGTTCATGGTTTTCGATTTATCTGCCAAAGGGGGAGATTTTAAGTACAAAAAATTGGTAGTAAATCGATGAACCTTCTGATGATCACAGAGTCTAGAAATTTACGGGAGTATTTAAGGGAATTTTTTTTTTTGGTATAAATGAGTACTGAATTTTATTTAAGTCAAATTGACATATATTTGTTTTATTCTTACAGGTCGACAAGATCAAAGGGGAAGATTCACCTTCCATAAATTAAGAAGAAGAAGATCGTGAGATTTACCTTCCATATGTGTTTATGACTTGGGCGCAAAGACTTACCAAATGAGTTGAAGATAAAAAGAAGACGAGACCAGAGTTGAGGATCACTTTTGATTCGGGATTTTTGAGTTTTCATTTTATTTTATTTTTTGAATGATAAGTAGAACATATAAGTTTTTGTAGCAGAATGTTCGGAGGTTCATTCTAATTTCGTTTGAGAGATTCGAACTAGAAAAATCCAC